TCTCCTGCCAAATTTTGTCTGAAGGACCCACTCCCAAGTCCTCTCTGCATTATGTTTCTTAGAGCACTGCTTTGCATAAGAGTCTCCTTCTTGGAAAAGCTCAACAGAGGGAAAATAGAACAAAAGGGGTTTTGATAGCTTCGGCATAAGCTACCTGAGTGTAGTTGTCAGGGAATGGGGAGATGAGGGCATGGGCCTGGTGGGAGGGGCACATACCTTTTGGATGAGTTAGATTTGCAGATTCCTCAGAGATGGGCTAAAAATCTCATGTGAAGATGGCCCACAGCCTGACAGATCTGGAAAGAGCTAAAAATAGGCTACGTGCTTCTCCAGCCTTGCCACTCACACCTGTCTATCTTAGTACAAATTCCCATGGCCTACCTAGTCTGGGGGAGTGTGGCCACCTTTATTTCCTTCCTTTTCCAGAGGAGGCTGGAGGGACCCCCTACCCATTACCTCCTCTCCCTCCCCTCCTGTTTGTACTTTGCATGGGACACTGGTGTAGAGGGGCTAAGGGATGGAGGCTTTGGTTACTTTAGGAAAGTTTTTCACTTGCTTCCTCAGATACTTTTGGGTTTCTAGTTTGCAGGTAACTGCTTGCAAAGAAAGCATGTAGAGCATTTCACTGTATTACCTTAACTCGGTGTATGTGTGTGTATGTGTGTGTGGACCTTGTGCACAGTGTGTGTGGCTGCGCTTTCCAAGTACTGTGAGATGCGCTGGTTGCATTGTGATGAATTTGGGGCTTGGACCTCAACCATCTCACAGGGGTGTAGAGGGCTGGACAAGAGGTCACTTCTTTAGGAATGTCTAGGTGCTGAGGTGTGGTGCCTGGGTGGTACCTGGGCTCACAGTGATGTGCTCACAAGTGACCAGTAGATGGTGCTCTAACAACAGGAAAATATGGCTTCTGTCTCCTGGGCTGGAAAGGTTTTCCGAAACTGGTTTCCAATCAGTTATGACCAACTGCTGATTATCTACATCTGCGTTTGTGGGTCTTTAAGTGGACAGTGGAACTAGGGACCCTGGAATCAAAATGCCCAGCATGGTCCCTTATGAAGAGCAGTATGGCAATGACCTGATCTCGGGTTTTTTCTCAGGATCCTCCTTGATCTTGAGGACAGTGGGTGTGTTCCCAGTTAAGCATCATCCCAGCATGGTCCCATGATCAAATTCAACTGGAGGATGGTAAGCACAGCATTCCCATAGGCTTAGCATGATTGTACAGTTTCTTCTCTAGACAATGAATGGTTTGGAATTAGTATTATTACTGCCTAGAAGAGATTAGTATGGGTATATGAAAGTGCCATAAAGTGGAAATCGGAGGATATGTTGGATGTCCAACCTCTGCCTCTTACCAGATGTGGGCCAACTACTTAACGTTCTGAAACTGCTGATTTGTCCACCAAATCAGAGTTATAAAACATGGGTTGCCAGGCTGAGGACAGAGGTTTAGAATTGGCTTTATGTAAACTGAAAACTATTAAACACACATAAGGTACTGTTTAGTTATTAAACTTGTAGTCCTCTGGGGTTGGGAGAATGGAGGCATTGGAGAACATGAAAGCAGCTCATGGATCTCAAAAGTTTCAAGAGCTGTGACAGCCCGGATGGGGGAATATGAGCATGTGCTTTGCTCCCTTAGGCCAAGTCCATTCCCAAAGACATTTATGCCATCCTCTTTGCCTCTGTCCGCTTGGGCTGCAAGAATTCTCATCTATAACTCCCGTAGAGGTGCTCATAGTCCTAAGGGTCGTCAATATTGCCCCCAACCCATGAATGTGTGATCCCTGTCTCCTCAGAAGGGAGGAAGGCAAGTCACAATCCCGTGGGTCCTCACATTTCTGTGTGTAATAATACCCTGTCTAGCAGCCACAGAGGACACAGGACGTTGTAGAGAGAGGAGTGGGCATGAGTACTGGATCTCTGTTGAGTGGGTGATCTTGAAGACACAAGTCAAGGGTTCCTGATCACCCAAGAACCTCTTCTGGGAGGGAGAACTTTGGCGAGCCCTGCCTCCTCTGAGCAGGAACAAACAGGCCTGCCGCTCTCCAGCCCGCTGAGGCCAGGACACCAAGGAAAGAGGTGAAGTCGCAGTGTGAGAATGAGGTTCATCATTCTAGCCAGTAAGGTTAAAGGATCTAATTTAATCCAAGAAGAGGATGCATTATTTTTGTCATCTGTTCATTATTGTATCCACAGTGACTAAAACAGTGCCTGGTGCTCAAAAACATTTGCCAAATGGAATGATTTGAATGAATCTTGTGCTATGGATTATGGTTCCACCTGAAAGCATGGATTTGATCATTTCTGAAAGCCCTTTCTAATTCTATATATTACAGGGTTACTGAGACAGCCACTTGTGACTGGTTCTCAGTGACTAACGGGATGATGGGACTTCATGGTTCATAGCACCATCTTTCCTTTTCCTTCTGACTAAGTAGGTATTCAGACAGTTAAGGGAGGTAGAACAGGGGAAGGCAGTCATGTGAAAGCACAGGTCTAATTAGAACCGACTCACTTTTCATCGTAATTTGCCTGAAATGGGCTTCCCTGAATCAAAAGGTCAACATGCTGTCCCCAAGGGCAGCAGTGCCTAGTGGGGTGGACATGTTGAGACCATTCCTTTGGTTTTTCCAGAACCCAGAGAATTTCCCTTCACACAGGTACATACATTGTCTCACAGTAGACCCTTGTCAGTGCTCACATGGCCTTGCCCACACACAGACACATACACCTAGGAACACACCTGCCTGTCACTCAGACACACCTCCCCTCCCACCAGGTCATCTCATGCACAGAGACACTGCCTGTTATAGGAGGGAAGCCAGACTTGCCCAGGATGTGCAAGAGAAGGGGGAGGGAGAAAGCTCCTTCTCTTCCGTTGCTCAGGTGGGAGGATTTGGATAGGACTGTGTGTTGAGGCCAAGGCAGAAAAAAGGGTAAGGTGTGCTCTAGCTGGTGTGGACATGGAAAGGGACAGCTGGTACCTGTCCTTGATCCAAACCATTGAGCTACTTGTGGAGAAGGACTTGGTTGCTAAACTAGGAACTTTCTCTAGGGCTTAGAGTCCACCTTACCCACTTCTGCAGCTCACATACTAATTCTGTTTTTATCTTCATTAATGTGGTGGGTTTGAGGAAGTCAGTGGAGCTGGCTTGGGGGTAGAAATGGGAGTGGGAGGATCCTCCCAATTGTTAAGATTTTGAGAAGGGGAGTTTTAGCCCAGAACTCGCCATCTAGGGCCCAGACATCTGGACCACCCTTCCAGGAACAGAGGAGCAGGGCTCTGCTAGAGCCAAATCCAAGAGGCGGCCACAGATCGCACTGTAGGGAGAGGGAGGGCAGATACTCTGGCCTGGGAGCTGGCACCAACACCAGAGTGTGGAGCCCCCAGAAGTCCTGGCGTCCCACAAGGGACCTCCAGGCTGTTAAATGGGGAGTTACTGAGTGGGCACTTCGTCTGTGGAAATCCCTGGGCATCATTTGTGGAGCTTGGGAGGTCCGTAGGAGCGTGAACGCGGCCGGGTGCACCGGGTGCAGGGCGCAAAGGCGTGGACTCCGGGCTACGGCAGCAGGCCAGACAGCGCATTGAGCTGGCCCCTGGACAGAAGGCGCCAGCGCATGCACGCGTGCCCGTGCGCCCCCTCCAGGCCTCTGCTTCTGCAGAGACGCCGCTAGCTGCGCCCGCTCCTCTTCTCTTGGCCTTACTCGGGGACGGCCACTCTTCTCGGACCTTTGCAGAGGTGTTGGCCCTCTCCCCTGTGGCACAATCAGCCAAACCAGTCCCGCATCCCAGGGACCTCCAGACAGCTGGCCAGGG